AATTGTGAAGGTTTTTTCTTTTCCTCCTTTTATTTTCTGTTTTATTGTAATCCATAACAGAATTCTAGATGCAATGCAATGCGAGATCGATGGATGGATGTGAAAGATTTGAGATTAATTAAGGAAGAAGGATTAGGGAAGAATGAATGCCAGAAATGACAGAAACAAGAAAGAACAGGAGAGGGAAGGGAAGACAAGGGAAAAGAAGACATGGCTGCTCTTCCATGTCCAAGGATCCTGTAAAATCTGAAATCGCGGCCTATTCTCCTTCAACCTACGAAATCTGAAGTCGTGGACCCTGTTTTTTTGGAGTTTCATTTCGTTTAGGTAAAAGAGGATTATATAATCTTATTAGTTTTGCTGCCGTTAGATTAATCTGATGGCTCATATAAAAGGGGTACTCACAAGTCCTGCAAAAGAGGAACTTAGATAGCAACTCTGTAAATTTGTATGCATTGTCTTTTTGTCGATGTGATATCAAGTTTTGATACAACGTATCTGGTTTTGTTTTTTCGCACTTGTTTTACAATGAGTCATTGTTATCTTTACATTAATTACTTAACATTGAAAGGAATCTATACAAATTAATTGAAATGGATATTACACGCGATGTAATGCTAGGAAGACTAAATTTTGAAAACTAAATGACATGGCAGTTGGTGATTAGATTATTACTTAATTATTGATAAACGTGCTCATTTACTATTGATGACACCTCATTTGGTTTTCTAATTTAGTTTTCCTAACATTACTCTTACACGTATCTGATTTTGTTTTTTCTCACTTATTTGACAATGACTCATTATCTTTACATTAATTACTTGACATTGAAAGAAATCTATATGAATTAATGGAAATGAATATGACTCGCATCTTTTGTGAAGAGAGTCAATGTACGAAGAACTAAGAAAATAAGAAAGAAAAAAATGACGAAATTTATTATCAGCAAATAAATAAAACATCTTTAAAAAAAAAAAAAATCCAACTTTCTCCGTGTCACTCATTTTTTTAATATAGAAATGATTTTTAGACATCCTTATTAGCTTCTCACATAATTAACCCTCTTTTTTATTGAATATTTTTCGAATAATGCCAGAAGCTTGTCCATGCTCGCTGGTTTTTCACAAAGAATCCAAACCGAGGACAATGACAGTAACCGTAAAATCTCAATGCCGCGGCAATACATGAGGAAAAAACTCACAAGTGAAGAAGAGTCGAAAGCAAAAGAGTAAGTCGAGAGCAAGTGCTTTTAGAATCTCAAAAAGACTTTAGAATCCCTATGTTTCATGACGCATCTAAGCATCCTGAAACATATTTTTCCATCCCCAGTGATTTGTTTGATGGTGGTCTAAATAAAACTGCAGGTGAAATGATCCTCACTGCGTTCAAAAGGCTCTCTTTCAATGGGTTTCTGTTTCTTTTATGTGTACACACATGCATATCCAAGGAAAAAAAAATGATGCGACTGTGTAGGGTGTAAACAAAGGAATGAAGGAAAGTGATGAAAACCATCACCTGAAATACATATACAGAAAGGAGGAAAAGCGAATTTGATTATGATAACAGCAATTGGCTCATCTTTCTTTCTTTCTTTGTTTTTTATTTTTTTGTTACAAAGGGGACAAAAGTCCAGTTAACACACTAACAACAACTAATCTTGACCTAATTATTAAGAAGGCCATTACAGACAAACAACTAACTAATGTTGATTGAGGATTGATCAATCCTCAATCAAGGTGATACCCATTCTGCTCCGATTATCAATCACTTCATGCTTCTTGGTCCATGGTTTTCCGGACTGATCATAGTAGATCGTATAAGGGGATAATGTGGAGGCTTACCCTGTAGAGCCGACCAGTTAGCATCATTACCCTTTCCTCTATGATCCAGCCGGGAAGTAGCCAGCTGTATTTAGCATTGGTGTTGTCATGGAGGGTCGATGTAAAGGGCTTTGCCCCACGCCTCCTTGCCCTCGGAGTCTCCTTAGCTTCAAAAATTTGTGCTGTCGCCAATGACATTGGCGACAAGCAGTTGTTTTCAAATTGATATTCAACTTGAGCTTGAGCAACGTTGTATGCCATTTCCGGCCCGTGACTTCAAGCTTTTTTTTTTTTTTTTTTCACTCTTTTTCCTGGGTGAAGACTTGAAGTCCTTAGCAGCCTATGATGATGGTGATATGTACATCTGGTAAATCATTGATTCGATCATTAAAAAATGCGTACAAGTCAAATTCTCCAAAGCCCTCATCACATTCCCCTTCACCATGGTCATCAGATGTCTCAAAACCTTGCATCATGTTCTGGATGTAAAAAAAAACCTAAAGAAATTAAAAATCAATATAGTCTATCTTGTTTGTAAACACATACGAAATACACTTGTCTTGGGTTCTTTTTTTATAGATGAAGTGGAAGGATCTTGAACATCAATTTTGAAAATACGGTGGGCGTAAAACTGTGTGTGCAAAACTATGTGCGCAAAACTCTCTGCGCATTTAAGTGTGATATGCCTTGTTTGCCTTCTGTCCTTCAAACCCATTTAACAATTGTCCATTCTTATCTTTATATTAATTGCTCGATATCAAAAGGAATCTTTACAAATTAACTCAAACAGATGTGAGACGCGTTTTGAAATGTGTCATTACCATTCATAAATATACATATTTTGTGTAATGGCTTCCACATGAGTTAATTCTAGTAACGTGTCTCATGGTTTTCATTCATCATTCTTTTGCCCGAGCTAGGATGGGAAAGTATGCATCACTCTTCATTATATGCGGGCTTTGTTGGGCTTTCACGTGAACTTAAGACCTTGAGTTTGGTTTCCCTTTTTTTTTTTTTTTTCCTGACTTGGTTGGCTTACTAGGGAAAAGGAAAAACTAGGTCTAGTCTCTCTCAAACTCTCATATGTGAACTTCAAAGATTGTGGGCCTGGATCTTTAGGCTCTCAAGCATTCCAAAGTCTTCCATAATCTTGACTCCTTGTAGGCCCGATAAATTTTTGTAACCATCCACACCACAATTCACTAGGCAAGCCCCAACATGTCACTTGAGCTCATTTTAGCGTGAATAGTATGTAGTTAGTGTGATAGAGCTTGTCATGATGAATATGCATGGATTTGTATGGGCATGCCGTAACTTATACAAATGTCTGGTTTATTTATCACAACGTGACATGGTTGCAAATATTTTCCTTTCTAGATTCTGCACATTTGCATGCATTTAGGCTTGAATTGGGGCTTGTATCACAATCGGGCCTTGAAATTTAATTAGGTTTGCATGTGACATTCTTAACCTCAATACATATGATATTACAAAATTCAAATGTGACTATCAAAAACAAAAAACTACATCTTTAAACGATATGCTGTGTGAAATATATATCATAGAGCTAGACAAAACAGAAAATACAGACAACCAATCAAACCTATATGTGATCCAGCGCCTTCCAGAAAACAAAGAAAACACCAAGCTAGACGTTTTGCACTAACAATCTCGTTGTTCCATTTTTAAAAGAGGCAAATGCCTTATCATTCAAGTATATGTACAAGGTATAAACTCCTTTCTGACATAATTTGTGTACATGTGATTTATGTGGTGTCAAACACACCAAATTCACTATAGTCACAATCTAAGTGAAAACAAGTTGAATAGTTTGCATGTCAACCATTTGGCATATTCTTTAAGAAGAATGAACTCGACCAATTAAAATATATGTGCATGCAACTGCTTAAACTTGGTGTTAAAATCACAGTTTATTTCTTTTTTGACTTAAATTTCCTTGAACATCCTATTTCTTTTCGTTCAATAAAACTATATTGTTCTTATTTCTCAAAGCTAGCATTGGATTAAAACCAAAAACCATATAAACAACCAGAGTCATCGCAATTCGGGCTAGAAAATTATTAAACCCTAATTAGAAACTTTCTTTCTTGATGCCTTGCAGAAAAATAATAAGAGTAGGTGCTTTGCATTCTTGGTGTGCTAAATGCGTGCCGACCTGTGTGTTCTTGGACATTAATCCTCAGCCTCTCGTTATTTACATAAGTTACAAACCGCGCAAAGATACTCGAACATGTCAGTTTATTGCCTTCCAGGACAAAAAAGAAGAAAACAAAAAAGACAACAAAATCAGTGTGCGTAAGGGTAAAGATAGGGAGACTAAAATTTTAAATTAAATTTTGTAAACTAAATGACATAGGAGTTGATAATTGGATTATTATTTAAGTGTTCATTAATGTGTTTACTTTTTATTGATGACATATCATTTAGTTTGTAAATTTAGTTCAAAAAATTTAGTTTCCTTAGCTTTTAAACAATTATTTTTGTATCATTTAGACAATTATTTTTGTGGACACGGTGGCTACTCAGGAAAGTTAGGTCAAATGGTTGAGGAATGTAATAGATATTAAATTTGTAGATAAAAATTGCAAGCTAAATAATTTGTTACCAATAGAAAATGAGCACATTTATCAACGTTTACTAATAATCCAATCATCAACACTTATGTTATTTAGTTTACAAAATTTTATTTATAAGTTTAGTCTCCTTAACATTAATTCCAAAAAGTTTGGTTCGGTTTACACTTTGGATATTTTGGAACATCGAATTTTGAAGATGCTTTGTTCACTGTGTTTTAATTTTAATAGTGTAGAATAAAGAGAAAAAGTTCTCAATGAACACGTTGAAATATGGACACACACTTCTGATTAAACTAGTAACAGTGTTTTGTTATTTCCACGTGATAACATGTCCATATAGATAATCTATTCGTCTTAAGGTAGTTATTTTAAGGTTTTGATGTGTAATAAAGAGATCAAGTTCAACCTCATAATTAAGCATACATCAAGAAAATTCAACAGGATTTAGCAGTGAATAGAAATCACAAATGAAATTGATATTTGACCAACTACAGGTCACAATCCCATTGTCCATTATCTTCTTATTTCCTAGCCTCGGTTTCTTTCCCCTTCCCCACTATAAATACTTGACCGCCGACTCCCCAATCCCACAAAGGAAAAGGAGAAAATCTAACTTCTCCCAAAACACCACCACAAAAATGAAAAGAAAAACAACCATGGCTACCACCAAGCTTCTCCTCTCCCTTCTCCTCCTCGTTCAGCTCGCCGCCACTGCCTACTCCATCGGCGTAAACTACGGTACTCTCGCCGACAACCTCCCGCCCCCGGCCCAAGTCGCCAACTTCCTCAAAACACAAACCAACATCGACGCCGTCAAAATCTTCGACGCCAACCCCGACATCATCAAGGCCTTCGCCAACTCCAACATCTCCTTGACTATCACCGTCCCCAACAGCGAGATCCCAAGCCTCACCAAGCTCCGCACTGCTCGCCTTTGGATCATTGATCACGTCAAGCCGTTTTACCCTGCAAGCAAAATCAAGTACATTGGCATGGGAAACGAGGTCCTTCACTGGGGGGACGATGCTCTCAAGTCGAGCCTCGTCCCTGCCATGAAGACTTTGAACAACGCTTTGGTCCTCGAGGGGATTAAAGACGTCAAAGTCTCCACCCCTCACTCGCTCGGAATCATGTTGGCCTCCGAACCCCCCAGCATGGGCAGGTTCAGACCGGAAGTGATTCCAATTCTGACCCAAATGCTCCGGTTCTGTAGCCAAACCAAATCGCCTTTCATGGTCAATCCGTATCCGTACTTCGGGTGGTCACCCGAAAGGGAGAACTACGCTCTTTTCGGACCAAACGAGGGAGTACACGATAAATTCACCGGCAAGTTTTACACTAACATGTTCGATGGGTTGATGGACGCGGTTTACTCAGCTGCCAAGGCAATCGGGTTCAGTGACGTGAACTTGATTGCGGCCGAGACCGGTTGGCCTTCGGCTTGCGAGTTCCCGGTTTGCTCGGTTCAGAACGCTGTGGACTACAACGGGAACTTGATCAAGCATGTTGAGTCTGGGAAGGGTACGCCATTGATGCCGAACCGGAAATTCGAGACTTACATCTTTGCTTTGTTCAATGAGAACCAGAAACCCGGTCCCGCCGCAGAGAAGAACTGGGGGCTGTTCAAACCGGACATGACTCCGGTTTACAATGCTGGGGTTATGCGCAATCAACAGGTTGGTAATGGTTCTTGATTAATTGTCTTGTGATTTTCCTTTTCACTTTTGTTACTTTATTAAGTAATGTGACATGGAATATTTCTGCGCCTCACTAATAAAGATGAAAAATAATACAGTTCACAAAAATAATAATTGCAAATTCATCCAATTTATTGAATTGAATTGCTATGACTAAATAATGTGTAAAGTGAACCGATGACATCAGTTTTTGGTTTTATTTTTTATGTAAATTTGTAATTAAATGAATCAAGATAAGAAACAAATGAAACATTGTCAACTGAATAGTAAACATAAAATTTTAGTTACTTCATGTTCTTTACTTGAGTACAAATTAACCAAATTGAATAGTCATCCTGCACTCATTCTTTAACAAATCGACATTCGACTAACGAATAGAAGTTTGAACTTGAGTATAATAGAACTAAATATTTTCTTAATAATGTGGCTTAATTCATGTCTGCATTGACAATATTATTATTACAATAATAATGTATCATGCATACTAAATTGTTGTATGATTTAGGGTGGTGCAACTCCTGGACCAACAATGAAAATTCCAACACAACCTTCTACACCAGCTGCACCAAAAAGCGAGAAACAGGGAAAGCCTGCCAAACCAGCAAAACCAGCAACACCGGCAGCAGGCGGCAACAACAGCGGCAAGAAGTGGTGCGTGGCAAAACCAGGAGCCACCGACCAAGTATTGCAATCAAACATTGACTACGTCTGCGGCACCGGCGTTGACTGCAAGTCCGTTCAGCCTGGCGGCGCTTGCTTCGATAACAACGTTAGGGCCCGTGCGTCTTACCTCATGAATACTTACTACCAGGCTAACGGCCTTCATGACTTTAACTGTGATTTCTCTGGGTCCGGACAAATCACCACCACTGACCCAAGCCGCGGCTCTTGTAAATACAACGCTTGAGCGGCTGAGCTTGAGGAAATGATATGAGGAACGGAAGATATGATTTTTTCCAATTTGGGGCATTATTTCAATGGCCAAGAAATTGATTAGGAAAGAATATGTTTGAACAAACAACTTGAAGAAACCCCTAAACAATTACTGTAAACACGAGAAATTCCTGAAACAAGCGACAAGAATACGTGTACAAAATAATATTTTGTATTAATGATTTTGGGGTTACAATCTCTTTGTAATTTGGTCCTCTGATTCTATCTTCGTAGGGTGTGGGTTGTTGATCCAAAGGGCCGTCGGGCCTTGATCTAAGGATGCACAGCTGATGAATGGATCTTCAAGGGGCGTTGGGCTTGATCTTGAAGGTTGATGGATGAACGGATCTTCAAGGGCTTTTGGGCTTAATCTTGAAGGATGAACGGATGTGTGGATTTGTTGAGGTTGTTGATCCAAAGGGGCCGTTGGGGCTTGATCTTAGGATGAACGGATCTTCAAGGGCTTCTGGGCTTAATCTTGAAGGATGAACGGATGTGTGGATTTGTTGAGGTTGTTAATCCAAAGGGGCCGTTGGGGCTTGATCTTAGGATGAACGGATGATGAGCGATGAACACTTTCTTCAAGGGCCGTCGGGGCTTGATCTTGAGTTGGTGGAAGTTCTTCAAGGGCCGTCGGGGCTTGATCTTGAATTGAACGGATGATGAACGATGAACACTTTCCTCAAGGGCCGTCGAGGCTTGATCTTGAGTTGGTGGAAGTTCTTCAAGGGCCGTCGGGGCTTGATCTTGAAGGTGGATTTGACGAAGAACGAAGATTGCTTTCTTGATCCTTCGGGGTTTGCTTGAGAGCTTTAGAGTTTCAAGGCTTCTTTCTTTCTTCCTTCCTTCTTTTCTTCTTTCCCTTCTTCCTTCTCCTTCCTCCCTTTTCCTTCCTTTCTTCCCCCCCCCAAAATGAATGCCTTTGGCCTCCTATTTATAGAATTCCAAAACTTGATTTTTGGATTTAAATAATCAGATGAAATAAATCATTTCTGCCAGGTATTGACACGTGTCATATTTGATGACTTTTCCAATTTATTTCGATTTTTCGTTGAGGCACACGCTACATGTAAAATTTATGTGATACGTGAGTGTTGAAATTTTAATTATTGGTCAACATTCATTTCACCGAAATTTTGATGTCTACAAATGCCCCCACTTCAAGGCGCGTCGTAAACATGTGCTTGTCACGTGTAGAAGATGCGTTTTGAAGTCCCTTAATGTAGATGTCAACCCAAGGGCCATCGAGGCTTGATCTTGAGCTTGACTGGAAGATTTTCTGGTTTCCTCCAATCGTTGATTTTCCGCAGGCTTAATCTTGAACTGGGCTGGAGGATTCTTTTGGTCTCCTCCGAAGGTCTGAACTTACTCCTTTGATCTGGAGTTGAATTTGATTCAAAGGTGGTGAACACTTGATTTTGAATCGGACTTGTGATTTCTTCAAGGGCCATCGAGGCTTGATCTTGAACTGGGCTGGAGGATTCTTTTGATCTCCCCCTACCGTTGATTTTCCTTTGTGCTACTCTTGAATTGAGTAGCAGGATTCAGACACATGGCAGGCAAGCGCGAGGTGGAAGTGATGACCTGTTTCTTTGTTCAATCTTTCCCCAATTCGTATTGAAGAGGGTAGATCGGAAAACTGACTCCAAGTGCCGTCTGATTGCTCTTTTCACTTTGCCATGCGAGTAATAACAAGGACAAAGGAAAGGACATGGAGAAAGCATGATATAAGATACCTTTGCTTTTGAAGAAGCAGCGAATGAATCAGCACATATATTTGTTGTGCTTGTCTCCACATGCTTTGATGTATCATTTTCACTTGTCTTACTTGCTCCCTTTGCAGAAGTGGTATTTCCTTATGCAGGTTTGGCATCTTCTCGTGTAGTATTCGTCCTCTGATGCAGGAGTTGAATGCAACCTTTGCATTTAAATGGTGCTTCAAAACATTACTTCTCAGCGACGATGAGTACTCGAGAGCAATGCAAGGTAAGCAACCAGGCAAAGGTTCCAGGCAATCAGTTCCAGGTCGGAAGTTTGATTTCAGGTTCCGACTGATAACTCTATTTCCCCTTCTCCTGTATGTAAGAGCAAGGACAAAGAAAAGGACAGGGAAAAAGCATGATATGAGATACCTTTGCTTTCGCCCTTGATGATATGAGATACTTTTGCTTTTGAAGAAGCGGTGAATGAATCAGCACATGCTTCCATCTACCGTTTCCTCCTGGGTCATCTGTGCTCCAGGCATCTGGTATCATCTTTGGGGAAGAGGAAAAAATTGAGTATTTTGAGATGTTTTGCTGGGAGTGTACTCTCGGAGGTGAGGAAGAGTTGGGCTTTTTTTCTTGTTTGCAGGTTTGTCTTGCCATAAAAGATGAAGGTCGACATATATAGGGATTTCCCAATAGCAAGTGGTGGTACTGTTCTTTTACCCTTGTCGACAAAGGTTTTGATTCCGCAAATTCGGCTTTTTGAAATAGTGACGACTCTTCGATCTTTGAATACACCTCTTTGACGCCTCTTCGATTTCTGAACGAGCGTCTCTTTTGACAAAGTGGCACGCGTTTTTTGAAAAGCAGAGAAAGCGTCGCCGAACTTTGCGCTCGTCAGCTAAAGATGTGTAGCTGCGATGATGACCTCCACGTGATATTTTGACCAAGTGGCACCCGTGCTCTGAAAAGCCGCGAAAGCGTCGCCAGCCTCCACGTGATTTCAACTTTGTCGAAGATCTTTTGACAAAGTGGCACCCGTGCTCTGAAAAGCCGCGAAAGCGTCGCCAGCCTCCACGTGTTTTCAACTTTGTCAGAGATCTTTTGACAAAGTTGAACGCGTTTTCTGGAAAGCCGAGAAAGCGTCGCCTAACTTACGCCGGAAAATCCAGCTTTTGAGATTTGCAGAGCGATGTCTCTTCACCTTTTTTTTTTTTTTTTTTTTTTTTTTTTTTTTTTTTTTTTTTTTTTTTTGAACAAGCGGCCTTTCGATCTCTGAGCAAGCGCCTCTTCGTTTTTATAGAGGTATTGATCACCTCTAACATGCACAACTTCGAAGGTTGCTCATTCCTGAAGATCATCTCCGGCCTTTTGAGTTTTAACTCCATCCACCCATCTCTTTTAACACCTTTGAAAAAAAAATGGCTAACCCATCGAACCTTAGCTTAGAATTGAGTCTCAGCAGTGATCCGGTTGCGCCGCTTCAAGGTAATGTATGGTGTCCTTCTTTCTTATCTTCTGACGGTCCTCTTACAGGTGAAGACTCAGTGATGCAGGACGCCACAACAGCTACAATAGTAGCTAGGAACCTCCTTACTCCAAAAGATAGTAGGCTGCTGTCAGGACGGTCCGATGAGTTGGCCGTTCAAGAGTCCCTCGCTCTTAGTGTTCAGTGTGCGGGCTCTGTGTCCAACATGGGCCAACGCCTGCTTGCTCGGTCCCGTCAAGTGGAATCATTGATGGCAGAGGTGGAAGATCTTAAGCAGGAGATTAAACAGCTTAAGTACGAGAATAGAAGTTTGCATGTGCTTGCAAATAACTATTCGTCGGGCATGAAGAGGAAGCTTGAGGAGCTTGATGATCGTCAACGGTTTGCAGCTTTCTTCCAGAGGCACCTCTTTCCTGGGTCATCCAGCGTTCCGCCAAGTATTGAGGCCTCGAATGCTCTATCTCCGATGCCTCTTGCTCCAATGCCTTCTGCTCCGAGAGTGTTGCCACGTAGTGGGGCTTCACGTACACATCCTTTGTGAAAGCTTCAACTTTTCTCTTTTTTTTTTTTTTTTTTTTTTTTTTTTTTTGTACACATTTGTAATTTCTTGAAAATCAATGAACATGCTTTGTTTTATTTAGTGTATTATGCTAAATACAGATAAAACATGTACATCACCGTCCATCACCATTTTTATTCTTTTCTTTGCTTTCGGTGGCGCTGATCCACCATTCATTTATATATATATATATATATTTCAGATGGTGCCAGAAGCACCACCATCGTTTTTTTTTTCTTTTTTTTTTTTTTTTATTTTTTTTTTATTATATATATATATATATATTTTTTATTTTTCTTTTGAAAGATGCTTCCAGCATCATCATTGATTTTTTTTTTTTTTTTATTATTCTTTTGAAATATGCTTCCCGGCATAATCATTGCTACTTTTTTTTTTTTTTTTTTTTTTTTTTTTTTTTTTTTTTTTTTTTTTTTCTTTATAAGGCCATCTGCAAGGCTGAGTTCGTGGGTGAAAACCCAGGCGAGTCCCAGAGAAGACGGAGGAGATCTTTGGGTGTGAGTTGACAAACTTTGATTTTGTCAATCACATTCAAAGGCAGCAGCAGAGGCAAGCAGACGGATGAAATCTTTGGATGTGAGTTGACAAACTTTGATTTTGTTGATCACATTCAAGGGCAGCAGCCATGGCGGATGTGCAGAAGTAGATCTTGAGGCAAAGTGTAAGGCGTCGAGTTTGAAGGCCGGCTAGTCGTTTGACAGCGGTCAATGAAGCTCTTCGTTGATTTTGATCATGGTGGCCAGAATGACGAACTCGAGGTAGTGCAAGGCGTCAAGTTTGAAGACCTGTTGAAATAGCCAGACGAATGAAGCTTGCATCTCCTTCTGCACCCTGCTTAAAATCCCCTGCAAATCTTCGAAGAAGAGAATCTCTCTCATCTGCAACGTATAGCTATGGAGCTCTCGAATTATGAACACCATGGAAGAGAAGGCCCCTTTTTTTTTTCAATCAGACTTTTGCAAATTTCTTCTTTGCAATAATTATGTCGCCACTGCTTTTTTTTTTTTTCTTTTTCTTTTGACTTGCTGATAGTGGCACGCATCATCTTTTCCCTTTTTTTTTTTTTTTTTTTTTTTTTTTTTTTTTTTTTTTTTTTTTTTTTGAAAAGGTTTGCAGCAATTTGGTCTTCATCAAGGGAGATGACACTGAAATTGGAAACTGATGCTGCAATTTTGCTCTTGTCAAATTTGCAGGTTCCACGATCAGTACCAGTGTATGGATAATCCTCTTCCTTCCACAATAGCACTCCCACACCCGAAAGTCCCAGTTCCGATCACCCGAGAAGCCTGGTGGTGCTCGATTTTGGTGGCGGTGTTGTTCCAGGTGAGCACAGTGAGAGTGGTGTTGAAGTATTCGCGGACGCCGGTGACTACACCACTGGCGACGGTCCAGGCGTGGACCCAGGAAATGGAGCAGTCGCGGTCACAGCCCTCGACGAGGACGGTGAGGCCGAAGGAGGCGATGGACTCGGGGACGAACTGAAACGATTTGTTTTGGGAGCCGGTGAGGAGGCGCATCAAGAACTGGTGGGTCGGCGGACCATGGAACCACCACTCGAGGTCGGTGATGGATTTGAGAGGATTAGGATTTCGTTGCAGAAGCATTTGTTGGAGAAGGCTTTCCCGGATGCGGCGGCGCCGAAGTAGTTATTTGACGACGAGGAGCCGCTGGAGGACGAAGTTGTGGAGGCGGCAGAGGCCGAGGAGGAAGACAATGGAAGCAGCAGCCATGGCGGCGGCGGTTTCTCCGGCGAGATCGGACCCGGGATTGCTGGTGGCAGTGAAGGGTCGAGAGAGAAGGCAGGCGACGGGGAAGCTGGCCTGGTGGGTGCGGGCGAAGCTGAGAGAGCTCAGAGGAGTTTGTCTGGTGAAATGGAAGGGTAGCCAGAAGGAGTGGGAGTGAAGGAGAAGAGGAAGAAGACAGAAGTGGTAGGATTCTCCGGCGAGCTTAACCGGAAAAAGTGGTGTTTTGTGGTGGAGGTTGGAGTCAACCGTAGAAACAACATATAGTTCAATAGTCCCTCTCTTCTTTTAGCTACCTGGTTTTGAAAAAATTGCAGCTTGTCGGGCCAAAGAGAGAAGACAAGGGGTCTCCCGATCAGCTTTGACAAAAAAAAAAAAAAAAACAAGAAGATGCACCAGCAGCGTTAAACACCACCAAAGCTACACCTTTGAAGACTCCAAAAAGGGAACCGGCAAGCAAGGACATAAATACAGTACCAGGGATCATGAAAGTCTGCATGAATATATAAACCATGCAGTATCCTAACAGAACCTGAGCAGTGTAGTCACTTGTGTAGTCCTCGAGGTGAACTCTGAGGATTTGAAGATCTTGGAGGCTACGGGGGAGCTTGAGGAAGCTGTAATCCGATGCGGGCATGGTCAGGTAAACAGCCAGAAGGCCAAACAAGAAGCCCAATACGACGGTAGAAGCCAGGGTCACCTCCCAAAAGCTCAACGGGAACTTACTATTATCAGATCCCACTTCTGCACCAACCACGTTCACATCGCCGCCACTGTCGTCTCCTTTCCCTGCTGTGCTTAATGGTGGAAGTTCAGAAAATAGAAGTGGGTTTAACTTCACCTTGGCTGCCTTTTCCGCTGCTCAAAGTCAAACATCTGCATCAAAACGCCTTAATGGGGATCTGTCTAAAGCTGAGGACTGCTACACACAAGGAGTGAAATGCGTTTCTAGAAATGAGACATCTAGAAGCTGTTTTAGGGCATTGATGCTGTGCTATAGCAACCGTGCAGCAACACGTCTGACTGTTGTAAGAGATGCACTTGGGGACTGTATAATGGGCCTGCAAATCTGCTTGTTGGGCTCTGCAGACTGAATATGGTGCGATTGAGGATGTGGACCAAGACGTTGATGATAAGGGCACTCCCAGCTCCTTCCTTGCCTTGAGAATGACAGAGTGGAGAAAAGCTTCAGGCCCAAAAGCAAGCCTTATCATTTCCTTCTCCCCATGGTCTTGTATCAGGAGTAGACCCATGATTTTTGAAGCATTTTCTGGGTCCAAGAGGCCATCCAGTTGTTTGGGCCGAGAAGTAAAACATTTACATATATATATATATATATATATTCTTTTTTTTTTTTTTTTTTTTTTTTTTTTTTTTTTTTTTTGTTGAGAAACTGTAATTTTTTTTTAAGTAGAGAATATATATATATATATATATATATATATATATATTTTTTTTTTTTTTAATACATAGTAACATATGTATATTTTTTTTTTTTCTTTTCTTTTGTAATAAAATTGACTTTATTTAATGAAACATTTATTTATTTATTTTTATGTGACTGTACTTGAAGTTTTGAAGTTTCAAGTTGCCTACGTACTCTTCCAAAGAAGAGATCAAGTCATAACGTAGTTCAAATGAGTGATGGTTTTGATGATAATTTTGGTGATGATTTTGCCGTACACAGTTTATGCTCTTGCGGGCCAGGAGCGCCTTGGTGCCGTTTGCAGTTTCAGCTCGTGCAGGCAAGGAGCGTTTGTTGTCGCCTTTTATGCTCGTGCGGACAAGGAGCTTTGGTTGTCGCCTTTTAGGCTCGTGCGAACGAGGAGCTTTTTTTTTTTTTTTTTTTTTTTTGAATTTGTCAAACGATCTTAGAGGGGCATTCCTTGCAATCTTCATAGCAAGGAGTCTTGACTGAGTGATTGAAGAAGTCTTTGGGGAAGAAATCGCGCATTGTGATGGCAACGGACGATCTTTGTGTCACAACTTCATCATCCTCAACACTTTCATGTAGCTTTGACGGTTGACGTTGGTTGCTTTGCCCCCTTTCCGATTGGTGAACTTGTGGAGGAGACCTATGTTTCTTGTGCATTTTCTTTGGAGTGACATAAGTCCACCCTTCAACTTCACTTGACTTGACTGACATGGTTTTGGAGCATGCCCCCAGCGGTTGAGGTGAAGATTTTGAGTTCAAAGAGCCAGAAGTGACGGTGGTATAGTTTGACTTCACCACATCATTAAGATCTAGCTCGATGATCCCTTTCTGAGCCAACTTCATGATGAGATCTTTTAACACAAAGCACTTTTCCGTCGGATGACTAATGAAGCGGTGGAATTTACAGTACCTTGGACTATCAGTACGGTTCATCTCTTCTGGCCGTTTGCACTCAGGTAGGTCGATCACCTTTTTGTCAAGCAAGTCTTTCAACATGGCAACCACGTCAGAGTCGGGGAATGGATAAGTCTTCTCCTCAAGCTCCTTTAAAGTGCGTCTACGTATCTCTTGATCACGAAAAGCTTCGGTTTGAATTGCCTTGCTTCGTGTAGGGATTTTGACTGGAGTTGTGTTGACCGCCATTGCTTCCTTGGTGGGTTTCCACGTAGCCTTATCCACCTTTGGCCCCAAAACTTTGTCATTCTTGTAGTCGGCGATCTGTTCTTTCTTCCCATGACGGTTGATGCTTAACTCCATATCATGGGCGCGGGTGGCTAACTCCTCAAATGTTCGTGGTTTGATGCCTTGAAGGATGTAGTGTAGTCCCCACTGCATGCCTTGAACGCACATCTCAATGGCAGAGGTTTCAGAAAGCCGATCTTTGCAATCCAGACTTAGAGAACGCCATCTATTTATGTAGTTGACGACGGGTTCATCTTTCCACTGTTTCGTGCTGGTTAGCTCTAGCATGCTTACAGTACGACGAGTGCTGTAGAAACGGTTGAGGAATTCCCTTTCTAGCTGGTCCCAACTGTTGATAGACTCAGGTTCGAGGTCAGTGTACCAGTCAAAAGCGTTACTTTTCAGCAAACGCACGAACTGTTTGACGAGGTAGTCTCCCTCTGTCCCAGCATTGTTGCAAGTTTCAATGAAATGGGCGACATGTTGCTTTGGGTTGCCTTTTCCATCGAACTGCATGAATTTTGGGGGCTGATAACCCCTTGGCATCTTCAAAGCATCAATCTTCTTGGAGTAAGGCTTTGAGTACAGTACGGAGTCATGCGAGCTTCCTTCGTACTGCGTCTTGATAGTACTTGCGATCATCTCCTGTAGCTGCTGGATAGATAGAGATCCCATGGATGTCGTTGCTTGGTCTAGCTTCGGCTTCTCTTCGACTTTCTCCACTGGTGGCTCCTCTTCTTCGTCGCCTTCTTTCTTTAATAGGCCAACAATTGGGTCGACTTTCACGTCGGGCAGCGCATCTAGTTGGTTGACAAGTGCGGCAATCTGCAAGTCCTTCTCTTCCACAGTCCGTGTGAGCTTTGCAATTGCTTCATTCATCTGAGCTAGCTGCTCCTCGATTGAAGTTGCTCCAGTGGTCATGACTTGCATGGTTGTACTGCCGCTCGAATCAGCGTCGGAGAGTAGGGACTCTGAGTATTTCTTTGGGCTCTCCCCTTTTGATGCCCTTAGCGAGGCTAGGGTGATCACAGGCTCGTACCTCAGGTGCTCTTGTTCCTTTGACAGAGTTAATGCAGGGGCGGAAGCTGCGGCAAAAAGATCTCTTGCCTTACTTCGGGTTATGATGCCCGAAATATCACCACTTGCGGCGATGATGTTCTTGTTCTTTGCTTTGATTGCAGGAACAGCTTGATCCTTTCTTGATGCCATTTGCGTTTTTCGATGATTTGAGGATAGAGATGAGAGGTAGAGATTGTCCCACTGGGCGTGCCAAATTTGTAAACACGAGAAATTCCTGAAACAAGCGACAAGAATACGTGTACAAAATAATATTTTGTATTAATGATTTTGGGGTTACAATCTCTTTGTAATTTGGTCCTCTGATTCTATCTTCGTAGGGTGTGGGTTTGTGGATGAGTTGTTGATCCAAAGGGCCGTCGGGGCTTGATCTAAGGATGCACAGCTGATGAATGGATCTTCAAGGGGCGTTGGGCTTGATCTTGAAGGTTGATGGATGAACGGATCTTCAAGGGCTTTTGGGCTTAATCTTGAAGGATGAACGGATGTGTGGATTTGTTGAGGTTGTTGATCCAAAGGGGCCGTTGGGGCTTGATCTTAGGATGAACGGATCTTCAAGGGCTTCTGGGCTTAATCTTGAAGGATGAACGGATGTATGGATTTGTTGAGGTTGTTGATCCAAAGGGGCCGTTGGGGCTTGATCTTAGGATGAACGGATGATGAGCGATGAACACTTTCTTCAAGGGCCGTCGGGGCTTGATCTTGAGTTGGTGGAAGTTCTTCAAGGGCGTTGGGGCTTGATCTTGAAGGATGAACGGATGATGAACGGTGAACACTTTCTTCAAGGGGCCGTCGGGGCTTGATCTTGAGTTGGTGGAAGTTCTTCAAGGGCGTTGGGGCTTGATCTTGAATGATGAACGGATGATGAATGAATCTTCAAGGGCCGTTGGGGCTTGATCTTGAAGGTTGAACGGATGATGAACGATGAACGGATGTGTGGATTTGTTGATCCAAAGGGGCCGTTGGGGCTTGATCTTAGGATGAACGGATCTTCAAGGGCTTTTGGGCTTAATCTTGAAGGATGAACGGATGTGTGGATGATGAACACTTTCCTCAAGGGCCGTCGGGGCTTGATCTTGAGTTGGTGGAAGTTCTTCAAGGGCCGTCGGGGCTTGATCTTGAAGGTTGGATTTGACGAAGAACGAAGATTGCTTTCTTGATCCTTCGGGATTTGCTTGAGAGC